GCCATTAGGTGTTAGATGCTGTAACAAGTCATCCGTCCTCCGAATTCCTTCTATGTGGACGTTTTCTGTGTGTTAACTAGCTTTCGTTGAGTATTTTGTTACTTGGAACCAAAGCATCATGGTACAAAGTAGTTCACATTTGAAAAAGTATTGTGGTAAACATTCTTCAGATTGTTCCCTTGTGCCCAAATGCAAGTTTAGCTAAAAGAATTTGGGGGCCATAAAATGTGTTCATATCAAATTGGTATACACATCTGCCAGCCTATTTGCTAGTATTGTTCAATCTCAGGGGCAGTGTTGTTACTATCTCCTGTTTGTGCCTTGCAGCATTGTCTTGATTTACATTGTCTAGATTATTAACAACCAAGTTTTCTGCTTATGATCTTTAGTTGCAATGTCTGGGCCTCCTTGATACCCTGAATTGATTCAGAACATTTACCTTTCTTGGTCACTTGGACTTTCTGGGACATAAGTTGGGTCACAAGCCTGCCTTCCTGTTGGATAGCGCTCAGAAGAAGCATCAGCATATTTTTGATCTCCCCTGGTAAAGATGACAGAGAACTTCCCGAACTGCTTGAGAAAGTGGCTCATGTGATGGGATAAGTGTGTTTGAAGGAAGGGGGAGTATTTTTTTTTAAGGGATTGATGGCATTATATCGTCCACTTGAATGTTCTTTTTTTTTAAAATTAATTAATTATTTATTTTTTCCGGCACCGGGAATTGAACTCACGACCTCACACTTGCCAGGCAGGCGCTGTGCCGCTGAGCTAAATCCCCAGCCCCCAGTGTTCTTTATTATTATTTAAGCATATGCCATATTTTTGGGTCAGCCTGTCCATGTATATCTTCTGTCTACTTGTCTGTGTAATTAACATTCGAGTTTTTTCCTTACTAGTGCACATTTTATGTATTGTGAAACTGATCTTCTATATGCATTATTTACTTATCTTCTAGTACATGGCTTGTCATAAGCTTTGTTTATGGCACTCCTATAATTTTTAAAGAATTTAGTTATATCAGTCAAACTTTTTTTTTAGTATTGTGTTTTGTGTTTAAAAAGTTTTTCCCTGACTGGTCACAGGGACATTCTTCTGTATTTTCTTCCAAAGCTCGTTAAGGACTGGGCTTTTGACATACAGGTCTTCCCTTCAGAGCTGACTCGTGTGTGGCGTGGAGAACCGTTTTCACAGGTGGCAGTATCGATTCACTCTCTGAACTCTGTTTTGCTCTCCGGGTTGGTTTTCTGGCCCTGTGCCAATTCCATGATTGTAGTTAGTATAACTGCGTGACTTTATGAGAGGGCCGTAAATGTTACTAATCTGATGTTCTTGATTGTACTTATTTGTTTTTTCATAAGAACTTCCGCTTATCGAGTCTCTCTCTCCCTCTCTCTCTCTCTCTCTCTCTCCCTCTCTCTCTCTCACACACACACATACACACACCAAACCTAGCTACTAGAATGTTGCTTGGCCTTGAATTAAATTTGTATATAGTTTCTGAACTTTCCTGTGTTTCAATAATGTCTTTTACAGAATTTTGCTTCTGTTTTTGTTTTTGTTTTTGTCTTTTTGAAACAGTTCTCGCTATGCAGTTCAGGCTGGCCTTGAGCTCACTTTGGAGCCCAGGCTGGTCTCGAACTCCCAACAGTCCTGCTGCCTCAGCCTCCCGAGTGCTGGGATTACAGGCGTGCGCCACCATGCCCGGCCGAGAATTTTGCTTTTAGTGACTTCATACGCCTTCTTCTCTTACACTGCTCATTTCAAGGAACTGTGTAATTTTGTATGTAAATACATTTTTCCACTGGTTTTCATTGGAGAAAATTAGACTGTCACTGTGCTTTTATCACTGGGAATGTACCTCAGCTGCAGAGTACGTGATTGACATGCTCATGGTCCTGGGCTCATCTCCAGAACTTTTATTTTTTTTTAAAATTTTTTATTTTTTTTGGTTTTTCTCCGGTACCGGGAACCGAACTCACAACCTTGCGCTTGCCAGGCAGGCGCTTTTGCCGCTGAGCTAAATCCCCAGCCCCTCATCTCCAGAACTTTTAAAAGGGACCTCATTGAGCTTGGCGGGGTGGCGCATGGGTGTAATCCCAGCACTGGGGAGGCTGAGGCAGGAGGATTGTTGCGAGTTTGAGACCAGCCTGGGCTACAAAGTGAGCTCAAGGCCAGCCTGAACTGCATAGCAAGACCCTGTCTCAAAAAGACAAAAAAAAAAAAAAAGACCTTGTTGTTACAACCTGATGTGTCAGGAAGTTCCCAGAGCTCCGTGATGTGTTCGCATGACGACTTCCCAGGAAAGAGCATTACCGTACTTTGACCCCCTGCAGTGCAGTCTCTTCCCAGTTACCACCTCCTAGCTTAATTTCAAAAAGCAGTCCTTATCCGGTCTAGTTCCGCTCATTTTAAACTTTGGATGTTACTACAGTTACGGTTCGCTTTGGTGTTTGTCACCTTGCTCCGTCTAGTGATCGTGAAACTCATCTCAGCAGATGCCTGAAGCTGCACTTGCGCTTTGCTTCCCGAGTGGTGTCTCGTGTGCTCTGTCTCGCATGCTCACTCGGCTGCTGGTGAGCAGTTAGGCTTTCTTTCCGGTTTGGGGCGTGATGAGTGACGGCCATGGGAACGTTCATGTTCATGTCTTCTGGTGTCCACTTAGGTGCATTTCTTTGCGCACGTGCACGCTCAGGAGTGGAGTGACCGAGTGGACATCGTCTTTTGTCATACCGTGAAAGAGTTTTCCTGAAGGAGTCCACTCTGCACTGTCACTTACAGTGTGCGCGGGTTCCACGTGGCTCACATCCTTGCCTGCGTTTGTTATTGGCAGTCTTTTCTATTTTAGTCTCTTTGGTGTGTTTGCTGGAGTATCTAACTTGGCTTTTCATTTACGTTTTCGTAATGACGGAGACTGAGCATCTTTTCTTGTGCTTCTCAGTAACGGGCTACTCTTAAGAGGTGCTTCAGGATGCTCTGTTGGGTTGTTCCGTAATTCTTGTCTTGATTTGTGGGAGTTTCTTAAAAATTCTTGATTGCACATGGTGGTAGTCTCTCCCCGCCCCAAGGCTCGCCTTTTGGTTCGGTCGTTCATCCATTCATTCGTTCTGCAGTGCTCTGCACTGACGCCATGGCCTGTGCGCTCTGGGCACTAGCACCGGGCTCCACCGCTGAGCTCCATTTCCTTCCCATTTTTAAAATTCTGCTTTGACGCAGGGTCTTGCTGAGTTGCCCAGACTGGGTTTGTGCTTGTGAACTTCATGCCTCAACCTCCAAAGTAGTTGTGATTACAGGTCTTCACTGCTACACCAGCTGTGTCCTATCTTGAAGGCCTTAAAATTACTTTCCCAAATAAATATAAATCTGTCCTTTTTCCTAGCAATAGTCACTAACCACATGTAGCTGCTGGGCACTTGAGATGCAGTGAGTCTGAGTTGCGGGAACTGTAAAACACATGACTATTTAAAAGTCATAGCATTAAAGCAATGTCAACTATCCTGCTAATAAGATTCACATGTAAAGTGTTGACTAGACTGATACGAAGTTAATTCCAACTGTTCTAGAAAACTTACAAATTCTGTTATAGGCTGACTGTATTTCAGGATTCTAGAAGTGTACTTTCCTGCAGGTTATGGAAGATGTGGATAATGAAAGACATCTTCTATAATCTGCAATCTGAGATGGTGACTATTAGCTATGTGTGGATACTGAACATTTAAAATGTGGCTACTGTAACTGAAAACCTGAATTTTTCATTTAATTTTGGTTGATTCAGAGTTAAATCTCTGTATATTGCTAATGGCTACTATATTGGACTGCACAGTTCTTTATTATTTTAATATTTATTGTCTCAGATTTAGGTTCACAGTCTATCTGTAATTGGTTGTTGGAGGAGTCAAGTTTTATTTATTTTTCTCCTAGATGAAATATATTTGACGAAGCAGCAGGGAAGAGGGTGCCCTTTCCTGTTTTTAGATTCTTACTCTGTTCCTTTGGTCTATTTTGTTCTTGTACCAGATACCACACTGTCTTCCATAGGTAGTAGGACAAGTGCTCCATCTTTTCCTCAAGAGCGTCTCAGCTATTCCGGCTCCCCTTCCAAGACTTGGATTGGGATTGCATTGGAGCTCTGGTTCACCCAGTCATAGAAGTGCTGCAGCCGCCTGTGGAGGGCTTTAACGTGTGGTACTTTCTGTGCAAAGGTCGTGTACATCTGTTGCTAGGCTTAGTCCTTTCTGTGTGCCCTTATAAGTGGTACTGTTTGTCACTGCCATTCTCTGATGTCTCTGGTACGTAAAAATAGAACGGCTTTAGGCCATTGTTCTCATGTCTAGCAGCGGTACAAAATGAACCTGAGAGATTCTTTTGGATTCTCCTTATATCAAATTCTGCCACTTGTAAGTAGTGACAGCTTGATTTTTTTGTGATTCTTACTCATTTTATCATTTTTACATCTTCTTGCCTTATTTTACTGATGAGTTCCTCCATGTGCAGAGATCAGCAAACTTTTTTTTGTAGAGAACCAGAAAGGAATGCAGCCAGTAATCGTTGTGTAAATGGATGGACATAGACTCTTGGGTGTTTTACTCGGAGTCAGGAGACTTTGAGTTCTGAGCAAGGTGAACTGGTTAGTGTGAAGGGCTGTACACTATTACGATTAGTTAAAAGCCCATACCTCCTTTTCTTTTTTTGGACAGTACTAGCAGTTACTTAGTTACATCCCATACCACTTTATTTTTTGAGAGAGCATATTACTAAGTTTCCCCAGCCCCAAACTCAGTCCTTCTGCCCCAGCCTCTCCAGTACCTGGGATTACAGGTGTACCCCGTCACACCCAGCTAAAAAGGACCATTTTTATAGGGAATCAGGGAGGGAAGGAATGATTGATAACCGTGCAAGAAGCAGGGTAAGGTCTTGCCCTTGTGGACTGAACGGCGGGCGAGTCTGTGAGTACGTGGCGCGTGCGCCCATGTGGACTAAAGCTTGTCTCTCGGTCTCTGCAGGAGAAGCAGAAATGAAGGTGCACGTGCACACGAAGTTCTGCCTCATCTGCCTGTTGACCTTCATTTCCCATCACTGCAGCCACTGCCACGGGGAGCACGGCCCCGGCCCCGAGGAGCTGCATCGACACCACCGCGGGGTGACGGAGCCCGAGCCCAGCAGGTTCTCCTTGCAGGATGCTGAGAATGAGCAGAGATACTATATTGAAAGACTCTTCGACCGTTACGGTGAAAATGGAAGACTGTCCTTTTTTGGTCTGGAGAAACTTTTAACGAACTTGGGCCTGGGAGAGATCAGAGTGGTGGAGATCAGCCACGAGGATCTGGGCCACGATCACGTCTCCCACTTGGACATGCTGGCTGTCCAGGAGGGCAGGCACTCCCACTCACACAGCCACCAGCACACCCACGGTCCTGTCAGCCCCGACAACCAAACTGCGACCACCGTGACAGCACGGAGAAACCACAGGTGTGACCCCGAGAAGGAGACCCGCGAAGCGTCCGCCAGGTCTGACGACAAACACGTCCACGACCACAGCCACCGCCCCCGTCACCACCATCGTCCACACCATCACCTCGACCACAACAGCACTCGCCACAGCCGGAATGACTCCGCCGCCCGCGGGCAGCGAGGGGAGCCGAGCCACGCGCCGTCCACAGAGGCCAACAAGACGCAGGAGCAGGCAGAGCTCAAGCCACGGAAAGGACGGAAGGACAAAGGGAGGAAGAATAGCGAGAACTCGGAGGTCATTACGCCAGGCCTCCCCCCTGCCCGTGCCCAGGGCGAACCCTATGAGCATAATCGGGTTCACAAGCCCGATCGAGTGCATAACCCCAGCCATCCCCACGCCCACCCAGAGCACAATGGTCACGACCCCGGGCACGGTCACCAGGACCACGCGCCGGACGAGGACAGTGAGCTTCGGCACGCGCGCAAGCGAGAAGCACCGCATGTGAAAAAGGGTGCGGTGTATTCAGCTGCTAGTCACAAGGACCACGGTGAGGATGACCATCACCATGAGGTGAGTTTCCACTGGACGGCTCACGCCGCTCTGCAACTTGTAATAGCTCCGGTGTATTTTGATTTTTTTTGGTCTTTTTGAGACAGGGTCTCATTATGAAGTTCTGGCTGGCCTTAAGCTCACTTTGTAGCACAGGCTGGTCTGGAACTTGCAAAGATCCTCCTGCCTCACCCTTCCAAGTACTGAGATTACAGACATGCACCACCATGCCTGGCTTAGTCAGTCACATTTAACTTGCTTCAGATGTTTATCTGGACACCATCAGGTAACATTCCTGCAGAAGTATGAAGTAACCCAAGTCAGTGTGACTTGCATTATTCCTGCTATTCTCAAATCAGGTTCATCAAAACTATGTGCTTACACATAGTTAGCACATAACATTCCTGCCCAGTGTGGTGGCGCATGCCTGTATTCCCAGTGCTTGGGAAGCTGAGGCAGGAGGATCGTTGTGAGTTTGAGGCCAGCCTGCACTACACAGTAAGACCTTGTCTCAAAAAATGGAAAAAAGCCCAAACAAATATTCCTTATTTTAGCTCTTCATTTTACCATGTTCATGTGAATTGCTTGACTCTCCTTTACTTTTCACTGTTACCACCGGCTGGTGTGTAGATATTTACAAATGAGCACTTCGTGTTACTTGGCCCGGCCTCTCGAGGCGGCGCTGGGAGTCAGCCGCTGCGTGGTCCCGTCGCGGTTTTAGTCCCACAGGCAGGCGTTCGGTGCATGTGCCCGCCGGGCGCTCTCTGAGAGTCCGTGGAGCCTGCGGAGTGAGGAGCTCAGTTTATTCTCAGGCCTTCGCCACACTCGGGGTGAGCGTGGAGTGAGCACAACAAGACTGCAGTGGAGAGAGAGGAGAAGGTGCTGGCAGCCTCCTGAGTTGTCACACTCCCGCACACCTCACGTTTCACTGCTCCTTCTTGGTTCTTAAAAAGTTGCAAGCACGTTAACTTCTGTCTCATTAAGGCTGTGCCAGTGTGCACACTGGCTTACCCTGAGTTTTAGCGTTTTTATCGAAGCTCAGGAGAACGTGTCGTGTGTGTGTCTCGCTTACGCGACTGGAGAGCGGCAGCTGCAGACGTGGAAGATGGCGTTTTGCTGTCCCCGTCCCCATCTGAGCGCACAGCGGTGGGTTTCCTCCCTGGCGCCTTATCGCATACTGCTTTTTATGAGCACCGACTTGAAATACTGCGGAGGCCTGTGACTTCCCGCAGTGCTGTCCTGGAGCTCCCTGGTGAGGCCGGGCTCCTGCTCTCCGTGTCCCTGTTTCGGGCCAGTGTGGTCCTCAGTGCCCGCCTCGCTGACGGCTCGGGCTCCGAGGAGGTTCTGTGCCTGAGTGGGGTGGTGGCCCAGGGGCGCTGAGACCGGAGAAGAATCATTTTGTGTCTTTGAATGTTCTGGCTTTCTTCTTTGCCATTTAGTGTTTCTTTGTTGTTGCTTTGTCTTAGTTTGGGCCATAGACAAAGTCGGTAGCACGGACACAGGTCAGTGCGCGGACGTGCGTGGAGCGGTCCCCACCTCGCCCCCCGAGGGAGCGCTCCTGCAGCTGGCTGCTCCGCGCTTGCTCCTCAGTGTTAAGGCACCGGATGAAGCTGCCTTTTTTTGCCTTCCGGTCTGGCCCCGCTCAGTCGATGTGGGCTGCAGCTCTCCAGTACTGTATTCATCTTCTTTCTTAGTAGATTTTGTCGTTGCTGCTGCACTGGGTGTTACACCCAGGGTCTTGTGCATGCTGGGCGGGTGCTCTGGTTGTGAGCATCTTTGCCAGTGAAAATGTCTGTGTTACTAATTTGAAGTCATTGATGATTGCAGTTTGGTAGGGAAATTATTTTTCTCCTTGTAGACTCTTGGGCTATAGTTACGAGTCATGATCTTTTATATGTGGAAAAATGGTTCAAATCCATAAAACATCTTAAGAATCTGGACTGGTGTAGTTGAGTGTATCCTTATCATCATTGCCTGTAAAACATCTTTATTTGGGTTAGATACCTGTGTGTTATACGCTATTTTCCAGAAACATTTAGGATTGTTTTTTATACAGTGATTCGCGTATACCATTTGCTTAACCCTGAAGGCCTCCTTTCACCGCTCGTGGTGGGTTTCCTTGCAGTGTCTGAACGGCACTCAGCTGCTGAAACACTTCGGTCACGGAGCCAACACGCCCATCTCCCCTGCACTGTTCACGTACCTGTGCCCCGCGCTGCTCTACCAGATCGACAGCAGACTCTGCATCGAGCATTTTGACAGACTTCTAGTTGAAGACTTAAATAAGGAGAAGCATCTCATTCCTGAAGATAAGGCAAGCATAGGGGCATCAGGTAAGAAGGAGATTGAAGCTGTTCTTCTCTAAGCGCTGTAGTGCCTGTACTTACCTTTTAAGCTGTAGTGCAGTTAGAATGCAGTCTGTGTAAAACTCTGACTGGCCTTAAGCTGGTGTAGGCGTCCACATTTAGAAAGCGCTGGAGAAGACGGGAAGAGCACGGTGCCTTCGTTCATCTCTTGTGGTGTGGTGGAGGGGTGTTGTGCTGTGGATGGGTGGAGAGCTGGATTAAGAGGGGGAGGGGGTTCAGAAACGGAGCCTTCGTGACGAGCAGATGTAACGAAAGGAGCCCCTAAACGAAGGTATTCGTTGTGGTGGCAGGTTAATCTCTAGCAGGTTAGGGGCCCCTGGTGAAACCAAAGAAGATTAAATGTTAGAAGGCATGAAAAGGGAATCGGTGTGGCTGAACTCCAGGAATGTCTCCGAAACGCAGCTGGCTGGCACTGGGCGTCCGCCCCATTTCCTCTGCAGAGCTCCGGCTAGGGTCCGATCGGTGCCGTTACTAAGTTTTTCTCAGCTTTTCCCACGCTCTGTCAGGCTGCTTGGGGCTCCATGGTGCTGGGCACAGGTTTCTTATAATGCTTCAAAGCTTCCTCTGCATAACCTTGTGTACCTCTTAACTGAGTCTCAGATACCATTCCAGTTCATTTTTGATAGAATCTGGAATCTTTGGCTTTTTTCTTATTCTTCTCTTTTTTCCTTGTATAATCAGCTTTGAAGCCCAGTCTGTCTCTTAAAATTCTTTTAACTGCATCTACTCTGTCATAACTTTATTTTTGGATTTTCATGTAACTTCATTACCCTCCCTGCCTATGTGCCTCTTCCTCCTGCAAGATGACTGTAGCACTTAAACTAGATTTATCTTTCTAGAATGTGAATGCAGTGCTCTGATACAAAACTTGCTGACAGTTATTGTTTAGTTAATCCACTGTCTTTCATTTACCTGACTAATACACACTGCAGGCACTGTGTTAGCCACATCCTCTCGCACCCGTCTTGTGAAGTGGGTGGTGGCCCGCTTCCCTGGGGGAGGAAATGGTCGTGCCAGGATTCTTATCATTTTGTCTCTATGTGCAGGGTTTTTTATGTGCATTTTTTCCCCACTAAATTTTAGGAGTAACCCTGATGTTTTGTGATTCTTTTTTTTGATAGGTAAGGAAACTGAGCTATGGAGACGTTAAGTAACTCTCCCACAGGTCTCAAGCCCAAAAAGTGACAGAGCCTGCACACCCTGAGACTTGTGGGATGAAAGCTCCAAGCCAGCGTCTTCTCGGTGTAGTTAAATCTGGCTTGATTTTGTGAGCTTTGCTCCCTCTACAGTATGAATTCTTCCGGATATCCACAGTGCTAGTGCTTTCCTTTGCATCCCACGAGCTTGCTGGGTGTCGTGACAGCTTCCTCTCCTGCATCACTGCCCTGTGCTGCTTTGTCGCACGGTTCAGCCCTGGGTGTGGCCCACAGGCCTTCCCTATGTGAGACCTGCGCTTTGTCATCTGTCTTCGCCTTCATTCATTTCTTCTGTCCTAGCCTTGCCCTGAGCCATCTGCTGACAGTAGGTGATGCCTTTTCTATGGTTCTTTTCCTCATGATGCAGCTCAGGCATCAGCCCCTCCAGCCTGACTTCCTGCTGTGCTGTGCTTCAGCTTTCCTTCCCGACTCACCACGAGCTCTCTTCATTCTGGCAGATCTCAGGGACCCTTAATAACTGGCTTAGCGTGTTTTGGTTGGACTTCAGTTGCTTGGAGGTAGTGACCAGAGCTTTTATCTCTTTAATCCTAATGCCGTTGTAAAAACAACTTTGGATGTAAAGCAAGCACTCACGCTTGATCTAGGGAGGAAATTGCTGCATGGCAGGCTCCCGCACTCCCAGGTAGACCCAAGGGTGGTGCTTGTTGAAGTGCAGTCAGTGAACGCCCATCACTGTTGCCGCTGACACCAGTAGTAAAGTGCCTTCAGAACAAGTGGGGCTTTCGCGATTACTTCACCATTTGTGAAACGTTGATGGGTTACCATGAATTTATGATGATGAACACAGTTCTCTTGTGTTGCCTAAGAGGCAGTGGCCCAGGAGCTCTAACCAGAGTAACTAAAATGCTATCTGTGAAGGACTGAAAGAACAGAATTTTACAAAATTCATAGTACTGGACTGAATGTTTGGGAATACTAGATTCCAGCGTGTAAGAATTTTACAGGCTGGAGATACCTCTTAAAGCTTTAAAGAAGACATTGCATGAACCCAGCTATTCCCCTTCTGGGTATTTTCCCAGAATTAAAAACATCATACCACAGCAATAGTGTGCACCCATGTTTATAGCAGCACAGTTTGTGATAGCTAAATCTTGGAAACAACTCAGATGCCCATCCACTGAGAAATGGTTAAAAAAGATGCGGTATTTTTATACAATGGAGTATACTCAGCTATAAAAAAAGATAAACTGGAGGCTTTTGTAGGTAAATGGATGCAACTAGAGACCATGCTCTAGTTGAAGTAAATTGGACCCACATGTGTAGACATACTGTCTCCCTGGTGTAGGAACCTGAAAGAGTAAGTAAAACTCAAAACATACGATAGATGTTAGGAAAGGGAAAGAAATTGCTCAAAGGAAGGAACAATTGGGATGAGGGAAAGAAGAAAAAAGAAGGAAGGCAAAAAAATATATATATATGAATAGCCGCGATAACTGTACTGCTGATGTCTGATGGTATATTGAAAGGAACAGTTAATGTTTAAAATGTTTTATGTTCTGACCAATTTTGCATGCTTGTATCTGGTTATCTGAGCAACTGATTTGAAGAAAATATGCAATGTAACTGTCATGGTGAATTCCTACCATCTTGTCTAGTGAAACTCTGTATTATCTCTAATGTTTGGTCTAATAATTATTTTCTTATTCTCTTTAATGGTTTGAACAATCATCCATTCTTTTTGTTTTGTTTTTTTCTTCCAGTACCAGGAATCGAACTCATGACCTTGCGCTTGCCAGGCAGGCGCTTTGCCGCTGAGCTAAATCCCCAGCCCCTCAATCGTCCATTCTTACATCTGGTAATCTGAGCAGCATAGTTGAGGATAACAATATGTAATATAACAACCACTGTTAATTTGTGTTATTTTGTCTTGAAACCCAGTATCACTTTAAATGTTCTTGCTTTAGTTTGTTTATGTTTGTGATGCCGGTATGCTGCTATTGCTCTTTTTATTTTTTTGCTCATTTACTACTCCCTTTAAAATAAAGTTTAAAAAAAGAATACATTGCATGTTCAAGGTTAAGTTCCCTAGGCACCTACATTTTAAATTTAGGCTAATTTTTTATTAGGAAAAGAATCCTAAAATGCATTATTTATAATAGGCTGTAATTATGGGACCTTCCCACATGCTGAACTAAATACCTTTATAAGGCGGTTTCCTGCATTCATTCATTCATTCTTTCTTGAGATGGGTCTTGCTGTGCTGCCCAGGCTGGTGTCAGACTCCTGGACTCAGGCCCTCCTCCTGCCTTGGCCTTCCAAGAGCCGAGATTCCATTTGCGGCCCACCGCACGTGGCTCACTTGATGTATTAAGCCCACGCGATGGGCACTTGCGTTTCCAGTGGGGTGAAGAAAAGGAGGCCCAGGGAGGCCGATGGCTGTGTGAGACCGACAAGCTGGGGGCGGCGTGCCGAGCAGCGGGGCAGAGCGGGACAGCTCCGCTCTCCCGAGCAGCAGGATGGCCGCCCAGTCTGCTCTCCTGACTGCACGCTCCTCTTCTCCTCTTAGTAGCTGAGGAGCACAGGCACGGTGCCTCCAGCACCTGGACCTTCTCACCTCGGCAGAAGAAAAGGGGAGTTTGGGAGGCAACTTCGTGAAAATAAAATACATTTCTTCTGCACAGGAAAAAAAGGGGACGAGATGGTCTTATTTTTGAATGAAAACCAACAGTTTTTTATTCTAAAGGTTTCTAAAAAAATCTGGTTTCTTATTTCCACAGCAGCTGTGGATCCCAACTCTTCGTTAGAGCTGTCTGTTGTAATATTGCCGTAGTCTATATGTTATAACAACGCTCTTGACAGATGTGTAATGTACTAAGATTGAAAGTTACAGCTTATTCGCTCAGAAAAGCCTTAGAGGAAATTGTACTTGTTTTGAAAACAAGTACGTTACTCATAGTGAATATTGATTAGTGGTTTGCAGGTGGTTATTAGCATTGTCAGAAATGCAGCTTGAATTAATTATGTCCTGATGAATGCTAATAATTGTTAGCGAGAATGCCCTGCTAGTAATTATTTTTAATGACTGCCGCACCATTAAGAAAGGTTAACTTATTCTGTATAAATCTCCCATAGTGATACAGCCACTACCTCATTAACTTTGCTCAAAGACCGCTGTAAACCGAATACGCTGTATACTGTGCCTAATGGAAACCGATTGTTTCCTGGGATTGGCTCGTTCAGTCAGAGGGCTGACCCTCGCTTAATCACCAGGGGTCTGCGAATAGGCTGCTAAGCAGTTTCTGCCAATTAAAATGCTGAAGCAGTGTGGAAAACTGCCATCTTGCACATGGTTTGCACCAAGTTAATTAGGAAGTTTCCACAGATGAGCGCTTCTTCTTAAAAGAATGCGTTTTCTCTCTTGATGAGAAAGGGAGTTGGCGAATAACTGAACTTGAAGACCTTTCACGTTCTGAGCAACCTAATTTGTAGAGTAAGTGAAGCTTGTCTCAGGCATGTAGTGCTTTTTATTGCGTATGCTATCTTGGATGAGTAAAAGGAGTGTTTGCTCGCTGTGTGTCATGTAGTCTGCCTGTTGCTAGGGTGGTATAGGCCGCTTTAAGGGTACTTTTATCATTTTTTGTTGTGTTGCAGCTTTGTGATATTGTAATGTTGAAAGTTACAGCTTAATTTGCCCAGAAAATAGTGGTTTTAAATAAATTGTGATTTAGAAAGCACAATTTGGTTAGAAATCATGTTTTTTTTTATTACCTGTAGTACTTTCTTTTCCTATGCCTTGGAAAGTAGAAAATT